AGGATGACGATCAGATGTAAGGGTAGCGCTGGGAGTTGACCTATTTCTTGTGTTGATTTGACTGAGATTACAAGATATGTTCATTCGCATGTGTTGGTCGATCGATGTCAAGGTGGTGGGTTGGTTGTCAAGGTAACGTTGGATTGGTGAAGCTGGTAGACTTGTTCTATGAAACTGGGTCGCGGTGACGACTGCAAAGTGAAAGCCTGTAGCGAGTTGGTGTAGCTGGTTGGCCAGTGTTCTATGAAACGGTGGTAGGCCAAATGGGTTACATGCTTGCTGAATCGGAGTCGCAGCTTACGGAGTCGGAGTTGCCAAGGTGACAGCGTTGGCGACGAGGAAGACTAGTAACTGGGTGGTGTCGACATTGAGATGTTATCAATCCCGACGGTTAGCGTCTTGGGCCTGGCGGTGTCGAGGCTGGATAGTGGGCTGCTGTAGTGAGTTGGCGAAGGTTATGGCTTGTAACTGCGTGTTGACGACGTTGAGATAATATTCTGGATTCCGTGTGTGGAGAGTCGGGAGATTTGTCAAGCTCAGGAGTGGTAACGGTCGTTGAGTGGAGCGGTCATTTCGGCAGCGAGCTTGAGCTTTTTGTGAATGAATGACGGTAGAGTTTTGATTGCCGTAAAGCGCTTATCTGACTGTAGAGGTACACAGGCGTGCTAGATGCATGTGCATCGGGAGGCCATTAAACCCCGCCAATATTTCTACAAAATTAATAAAATAATATATTCCGTATGAAATTAATAAAATAATATATTCCGTATAAAATTCATTAATAAATAACTGCTGAAAATTTCAGTTAAATCGGATAATTCACTGATTTTTGCTATTTTTTTTTTTTAATCGATAGGTAGTGTTTTTTGGGTTTTTTTTAAGCGGTAGGTACTGTTTTTTTATGCATTTTGAAAAAAACGCGCCCATTTTCGTTTGGTTTGTTTAACGGCATAGCAACACCTCATGGGTCATTTAATATCGAAATTTAATTTTCTTGGGAGTTTTGTTATTTTTTTATTACTATTAAAATCTATTTCTAGAAATGTTTACTACATAAATACTACTTATTTTTACTACTTATATTTTTATTCTTTCACGGTGTTTTGACCCGAGTTTGGGGATTCACTATTTGCCCATAGCTAGGACGCTAACAGGTGCTACCAACCCGTATTAAGGTGAATCCTTGTGATAACAGCAGTTAAGAGGTGGTCCCCCAACCCTGAAACCTCCCGATCAGAGGCCTTGATGCCGGATGTAGTTCATGTCTCTGATGAACTGATTTTGGTTGTAAATGAAAAGAAAAATGTGTTAAATGCTATTCAGTGCCCATCAGATGCAGATGTGGATAATGTTCCGGATAATTAATGGAATAATAGCATTTTAAAAAATAACTACATTTTCTGTCTATATTTCTGAGATGAAGTATTATGTACATTCTGAGATGAGGCATTATGTACCTTATCCGGACTATTGTCCTCATCTTTGTCGCCATATTTATAAATATGGCGACAAAGATGAGGACAATAGTCCGAATAATGTAAATAATGTAACTACATTTTGTATTGAAAGCTAAATTTATCCTGAAAAATTGGTAAAATTGCAGATTAAGTCTCGGAAACCGATTGTAAAGAAAACTTCCATTCTGGTGTAACTTTGCATGCTTATTTCGAAAATAACAATAAAAATCTGCGAAAGAAAACTGTTTAAGAGTTATCGACAATATAATCTCGACCTTAGCCGCGTCGAGGTTGTAACCCTGCCGCCATTAATGGCTTTGTTTACATACCTTTGCGACAAGTAATCATGCGCGGAAGCTTCACTCTTATAAATTACTGCGCAATGCGCGAACTTTAAATGCGCGCAGTAATGAAATCGAATAAGAAGATAAGAAAATCAGTAAAAAGGCCATTAACTCAGTAACGTTCCGCTCATTACTATTCGACAGAAACATGTGTAAAAAACACCAATAATGACGCCCGGACTAGACGCGAATAAGGCCGAACTTATATTGCCTATAATTCCTAAACGATTTTCTTCCGCACACTTTGTTATTTTGGAATTAATCACACCAGAATGGAAATTTTCATTACAATTGGTTTCTGGGGCTTAATCTGCAATTTTACGGAAAAATTTCTGTCTTTATTTTTAAGCGAGGCGTCTTTCTTAGCCATTTTAAATAATTAATTCAGATTTGTTTGTATGATTTTCTTTTCTTGAAAAATAAATTAAAATAAAAGTGAGGAAATTACTCGGAATTTACCAAAATAAAAGGAAAATTAAAGAATGAACTTCCATTAAAACATGTCCACGATTTAGTTTTGGACACCAACAACAATTTTAACATTACCCTCCAGACGTAGGCACAAAATCAGATGACGTCATATTATGACGGCTGAAAAATGGATGAACGTACTTTTCAGCAGATAAATGTTACGTCTAAAAATACACTTAATCTTGATGCTGCGTGAAAGAACATCGCATTTTTTCAACAGGCTTACTGAATGCACCTAAGTACTTGTCTAAGAATCCGATTGCGAGTGCCTTCGTGGCCCAATGGATAAGGCACCGGCCTCCTAAGCCGGGGATTGCGGGTTCGAGTCCCGTCGAAGGTATATGATTACTTTTACTTTTTATTACTAAGATTACATTCGAAAATTTTGTAATTCGTTTATTTTCGTTGGTTAACTCGGAGAAATCTCAAGATCTCTCGGTTAAATTAATAGATGTCTTTACTAATTTTTTCTCTTTCACTCATATACTGTAGTGAGCGAGGAAGCATCCCCTCAGGAATCTGTTCCACAGATAACTTCCTTCTTATGTATGAGCACGTAGGTAAAAGTAATGGATTCGACTGGAATTCGAAATCGGCCCCCGATTCCTCAATCCGAACCGTTATCCATTACTCTACCGTGCCTAATACTCTTGAGAAAGGTATGAAGCCTCTTCTTCTCAAGCTATGGGTAAATAGCAGGACAGACCGGGTTCTATAGCCTTGGATGGCAACTGATCTACTGCAGAAAGAAATGGCAACCTACTGCGGAAAAAATATGCCTCGGCAGTCATGTATCAAAAGATACATGGTCGCCTCAGCGTGTATCACGCATGGCATATAACTGACTGAAAAAAAAGTACGTCTTTTAAAACCGGAAACCTATCTGTTGTGCGTGGTTAGAAGTCATTTCAAATCTGCAGCAAGGATTTCTTTTGTTTCGTCAAAAACAATGCTCCTTTTATGTGAGCAAAGAAGCAAATTAAGGAATGACTGATCGGAAGTATACGACGCAACACTTACGACCAAATCAATCTCGGGCTCGAATTCTGCTGAAAATCACAGTATAAAAAAAAATCCCGAGAAAATATTCCATAAAAGATTTGTTTTTTGAATCTATCTTAGTTGGATACTGGTCTTCACACCAGCAAAACCCAAAACGAAAAAATCTTTAAAGTTCGTCCATAATAGCATGTGCACCAACTTTTAATTTACTTTGCAGTATTTGAAGTTGAAGTGTTTCGATTGATGCAAAGGAGGCTCTTGTGTAAATGCAGAGATGTCCACTTGCTGACATAAGCTCTTTGCATATAGATAGTGACAAGGAAGAATGTCAAGAATGAGATTAAAGTCTGTTGATAGGTTTATTTATTATTGTTGGGCAACGTTTTGATTAATTTAATTAACGATGAAACCATTGAAGTTTATTGGCGAATTTGTTTTATTAAGCTACAGTTTAAAATGAACAGACGTATTCTCAATGAAGCTCCTTGCCTCGAATATCTCAAGTTCACTCACAGACCTAAAATGCGCCCCAATACCTTTTCCGTTATCTCTATTAATGAAAGCACGGTGGAGTAATGGACAGCGTTGTCTCTTTTAAGGAGGCACGGTGGAGTAATGGATCGGATTGAGGAATCGGAGATCCGAGTTCGAATTCCAGTCAAGGTATGAATCATCTTCTCCCCCAGATATGGGTAAATAGCAGGACAGACCGGGTTCTTTAGCCTACTGCAAAAAGAAATGGCAACCTACCCCGGGAAAAATCTGCCATGTATCGAAAGTTACATGATCGACTGACTGAAGTCTTCGTGCTTTCATTTTTCTTTCTTGGTCTGTCATCGACACAAGGTTATCGGTGTATCTTATGTCGTTAAGGTTATACCGACGACTAAGAAATGTTGGAATTGTCTTCTAGTCCTCGTGGGATCGTTTCGCTGTGTAGGTTAAATAAAACTGGTGAGAGAACGCATCCTTGTCCCACTACACTTTCAATTTTGTGACTTCATTCACTGAACTCATTCTCTATCCAGTAAAAAGTTATGGGTTAGCTCAAATATCATTCCCGTGTAAACTGTACTTCTCTAGTATTTTAAGTAGTTCTTTGTGTTGTACCCTATCAAATATGTTTGTGTAATCTATGAAACATATACTTTCTGTATTTTTGCTGCTCGTTCTGTTAGCTTTCCTATCATAAAAAAAGCTGAACAGTTACCACTGAGCAACACCAGCCCAGATATGACAGCAATACTCCATTTTTGGTCTGATCTGACTATTGCAAAGATAAAGTATGTCAACAGGAATTAAGGTATTTTCTAGTGCGATACAAGGAACTGACTATTCTTCCAACATCGTTTGCGATGGTATGAATAGACGAGTTACCGTCTGTAGTAACAGACGACAGAAAATATACCACAGAAATCCTAAGGAGCACCAGAATAGCGAAAGCTGTGTTATGATTCTGTAGCGCCAGTACACGAGGTTCGGAGAAGAATTGTCATCGCTAAGACCTGCAAGCATTATTCGTACGAAGTTATTTTTAACCACCGAACTGACAAAACGGTTGTATACAACTGACATTTTAGATATTTCTGGACGTGTTGGGAGCCATGTATGACATTCATATGAAAATCTGATGAGGATCTTAAAGTTTTAGGTCAATCTTTTGATTTTGCAGCAACTTGTGGTGTTGGGCGAAACTATCCTTAGTGCAGCTTAAGGTAAAATCATATTAAAACACCGGTTCCCGTATGATCACCGAAGTTAAGAAACGTCGAGCCTGGTCAGTACCTACATAGGTGATCGCTTGGTAATACCAGGTAAGCTTGAGAATGTGGGTGGTGTAATGGATAACAACTTGGAATTGTTAATCGGAGAGCCGAGTTCCAATTCCCGTTGGGTTAGTTATATTCACTTACTCGCAAATACCACTTGGGAAGGTATAAACCCACTGCTTGTCCTCATACCTATGGGTTAATTAATTGGACTTGTATCACTAAACCATTATTATCTCTGACCCCAAATTCTTACAATCTAAAAAATAGTCACCTATTCAATGTTCAATTTCTTTATCTCTTACGCTAAATTTGCTATAACAGATCCATACATCGCCGTAAAGTTTTTGGAATGTTGATGTCACAGATTTATCGCTGTCGTCACACACGTATTGATTTCAAAACTAAAATGGCTCCCACGAAAACATTTTTGAAACATTTTTATTTTTCTATTTTGTTTAACGTGAAATAGAGCGGGGGAAAGATACTATTTGATTTCATTGAGAAAAATGTATGAAATAAAGAAAGAAGCAAATGAAGAAAAGAAAGAAAGAAATAAACAGGAAGGATAGAAAAAAGTGAAAAGAGAAATGAATGTAATCAAAATAGTGTAAAAACTTTCATTTGTAAACACGTCTGAAATTAACGATGAGCATTCACATTCATGACTGTTACAGCAATGTTTTGGTAAGGTTGTAAATCTCAAGTATTTAACGATGCCATTGTGGAATCTCTAAGGATATTTCATTGTCGTGAGCTTATTTAATCGACAACTTAAGAAATACGCTTCATCAGAATGTTCAAATAGCAAAACCGCAGACATGCACGGGTCTTTCTAGTAAATATGAACAGATGTAATCAAATTCATGTTCTATGTTGAGAAAGAGAAAAGGTGTCACCTCCGACGGGACTCGAACCCGCAATCCCCGGTTTAAGAAGCCGGTGCCATATCCATTGGGCCAGGTAGGCTACTGCCCCAAGCCCTGAATATCATGGTAAATTAAGCCATATGAACACTGTATTATCTCTTGTAGGAGGTTGGAGACTTGGCTTCAAAAAGATTTTCGTAAGAGATCGATATAAAAACAGTAAATGCCTGTGTGTACATGGTTGCCAATATAGCTGCATTCGTACAAACGATAGCATCAATGAGAGTAAAGCAACACATTTAATCTAGTGCCTTACATTAAATAAATTGCTATATTATATTATGTTTCAGAAGCACATTTGCCATCCTCCCTATAGGAATAAGAACAACTTATCGAAGTGTATTAAAAGAAAGGTTCAGTTCAATGTTCCTTCGGGTGGCAGGCAAACCTGCCGTGATTGGTATAGGATAGGAATGAAAGTGATTCTACGTCATAGCTTAAATAAATCATTCTGTTTCATAATGCCTTGGGAGGTCCAGGGATATCTTAGCTAAGAAATACATCACTCTGAAAATTTGAGTCATGTTCTCGATCTGCATGACTCTAAACACCATATGAAATGTCTAAACTGTCAGCTTTAAAAAAAAAGCATTCCTGATATCGTTGATGGAAATGTTTTGAGCAAAGAATAATCTTGGCTATTATAATCATTGCCTTTGAACATTATGCACTGGCGCTATAGATTCACAAAGAACAGAACCAAATAAAAGTTATCCCAACACCTGCGGACTACAAAAAAAAGAGAAAAAAAGAAAATGAAGGAAGATCAATGTGTATTACGTGTGTTAGCAATACCTAATAAACAATGGACTATTTCGTTTTGATTGGTGGAAAATCTCAATTTGATTTCAATGAGAAAAATCAGTAAAAGAAATAAAGAAGTAAATGAAGAAAAGAAAGAAAGAAATAAAAAAGAAGGAGATAAAATAGCGAAAAGAGAAATGATTGTAAGGAAAATAGTGTATAACTTTTCATTTGTAAACACGTCTTAAATAAACGATGAGCATTCACATTCATGACTGTTACAGAAATGTTTTGGTAAGATTGTAAATCTCAAATATTTAACGATGTAATTGTGGAATCTCTAAGGATATTTTATTGTCGTGAGCTTATTTCATCGATTACTTAAGAAATACGCTTCATCAGAATGTTCAAATAGCAAAACCGCAGACATGCACGGGTCTTTCTAGTAAATATGAACAGATGTAATCAAATTCATGTTCTATGTTGAGAAAGAGAAAAGGTGTCACCTCCGACGGGACTCGAACCCGCAATCCCCGGTTTAAGAAGCCGGTGCCATATCCATTGGGCCAGGTAGGCTACTGCCCCAAGCCCTGAATATCATGGTAAATTAAGCCATATGAACACTGTATTATCTCTTGTAGGAGGTTGGTGACTTGGCTTCTAAAAGATTTTCGTAAGAGATCGATATAAAAACAGTAAATGCCTGTGTGTACATGGTTGCCAATATAGCTGCATTCGTACAAACGATAGCATCAATGAGAGTAAAGCAACACATTTAATCTAGTGCCTTACATTAAATAAATTGCTATATTATATTATGTTTCAGAAGCACATTTGCCATCCTCCCTATAGGAATAAGAAAAACTTATCGAAGTGTATTAAAAGAAAGGTCCAGTTCAATGTTCCTTCGGGTGGCAGGCAAACCTGCCTGATTGGTATAGGATAGGAATGAAAGTGATTCTACCTCGTAGCTTAAATAAATCATTCTGTTTCAGAATGCCTTGGGACGTCAAGTGATACCTTAGCTAAGAAACACATCACTCTGATAATTTGAGTCATGTTCTCGACCTGCATGACTCTAGACACCATATGTAATGTCTAAACTGTCAGCCTTATAAAACGCATTCCTGATATCGTTGATGGAAATGTTTTGAGCAAAGAATAATCTTGGCTATTATAATCATTGCCTTTGAACATTATGCACTGGCGCTATAGATTCACAAAGAACAGAACCAAATAAAAGTTATCCCAACACCTGCGGACTACAAAAAAAAGGGAAAAAAAGAAAATGAAGGAAGATCAATGTGTATTACGTGTGTTAGGAATACCTAATAAACAATGGACTATTTCGTTTTGATTGGTGGAAAATCTCAATTTGATTTCAATGAGAAAAATCAGTAAAAGAAATAAAGAAGTAAATGAAGAAAAGAAAGAAAGAAATAAAAAAGAAGGAGATAAAATAGCGAAAAGAGAAATGATTGTAAGGAAAATAGTGTATAACTTTTCATTTGTAAACACGTCTTAAATAAACGATGAGCATTCACATTCATGACTGTTACAGAAATGTTTTGGTAAGATTGTAAATCTCAAATATTTAACGATTTAATTGTGGAACCTCTAAGGATATTTTATTGTCGTGAGTATATTTCATCGATTACTTAAGAAATACGCTTCATCAGAATGTTAAAATAGCAAAACCGTAGACATGCACGGTTCTTTCTAGTAAATTTAAACAGATGTAATCAAATTCATGGTCCATGTTGAGAAACAGAAAGGCTTGGCTCACCTCCGACGGGACTCGAACCCGCAATTTCCAGCTTAGGAGGCCGGTGCCTTATCCATTGGGCCACGGAGGCTACTTCATCTAACTCAGAATGTCATGGTAAATTAAGCCATATGAACACTGTATTATCTCTTGTAGGAGGTTGGTGACTTGGCTTCTAAAAGATTTTCGTAAGAGATCGATATAAAAACAGTAAATGCCTGTGTGTACATGGTTGCCAATATAGCTGCATTCGTACAAACGATAGCATCAATGAGAGTAAAGCAACACATTTAATCTAGTGCCTTACATTAAATAAATTGCTATATTATATTATGTTTCAGAAGCACATTTGCCATCCTCCCTATAGGAATAAGAACAACTTATCGAAGTGTATTAAAAGAAAGGTTCAGTTCAATGTTACTTCGGGTGGCAGGCAAACCTGCCTGATTGGTATAGGATAGGAATGAAAGTGTTTCTACCTCGTAGCTTAAATAAATCATTCTGTTTCAGAATGCCTTGGGACGTCAAGTGATACCTTAGCTAAGAAACACATCACTCTGATAATTTGAGTCATGTTCTCGACCTGCATGACTCTAGACACCATATGTAATGTCTAAACTGTCAGCCTTATAAAACGCATTCCTGATATCGTTGATGGAAATGTTTTGAGCAAAGAATAATCTTGGATATTATAATCATTGCCTTTGAACATTATGCACTGGCGCTATAGATTCACAAAGAACAGAACCAAATAAAAGTTATCCCAACACCCGCGGACTACAAAAATAAAAAACAGAAAAAAAGAAAGTGAAGGATGATCAATGTGTTTTACGTGTGTTAGCAATACCTAATAAACAATGGACTATTGCCTTTTGATTGGTGGAAAAACTCAATTTGATTTCAATGAGAAAAATCAGTAAAATAAATAAAGAAGCAAATGAAGAAAAGAAAGAAAGAAATAAAAAAGAAGGATAAAAAATAGTGAAACGAGAAATGATTGTAAGGAAAATAGTGTAAAATTTTTCATTTGTAAACACGTCTTAACTAAACGATGAGCATTCACATTCATGACTGTTACAGAAATGTTTTGGTAAGATTGTAAATCTCAAATATTTAACGATGTAATTGTGGAATCTCTAAGGATATTTTATTGTCGTGAGCTTATTTCATCGATTACTTAAGAAATACGCTTCATCAGAATGTTCAAATAGCAAAACCGCAGACATGCACGGGTCGTTCTAGTAAATTTAAACAGATGTAATCAAATTCATGACCCAGGTTGAGAAACAGAAATGATTGGCTCACCTCCGACGGGACTCGAACCCGCAATCCCCGGCTTAGGAAGCCGGTGCCTTATCCATTGGGCCACGGAGGCTACTTCTTCCATCCCAGAATGTCATGGTAAATTAAGCCATATGAACACAGTATTATCTCTTGTAGGAGGTTGGTGACTTGGCTTCAAAAAGATCTTCGTAAGAGATCGAAATAAAAACAGTAAATGCCTGTGTGTACATGGTTGCCAATGTAGCTGCATTCGTACAAACGATAGCATCAATGAGAGTAAAGCAACACATTTAATCTAGTGCCTTACATTAAATAAATTGCTATA